TTTATTTACCTTTAAAACCTCCATGACATCACACACACAAGCATTTCTAGAATATTTTTTTAAATTTATGTGTATAGGTAAGGCATACACAAAAGATTATGAAGCATTGTTGAGAAAAGAGAGATTTAGATCATTAATATGATACCATACACTCAAAATATACTAAACCAGAAGTCAGGAGTCTCTACATCTGGATCTTAGTTGTACAGAGATAAAGGCGATATAAGAAATTCAACAAGCCATAAACTTAAAAGGCTGGTGGATGTGTGTCATCCTGTCTTAAATATAGTTGAGAGTCTATATTAAGTATTACTTGGGACTAGGTTTGAGACAAATGGTCAGGTGTGGAAGAGAGAAATAATATCCAAAGTGTTTAAGGAAGGATAGGTGTGCTCTTTGTTGTTGATGGCCAGAAAGAACTGTCAAATACAGAACTTGATAAATAGCACTCAAATAAATGAAATCTATTACTATAATTCACTATAGTGTTCTCTGCAGAGACTAGTGAAGCATATTTTTCTATTTTCATCTTTCAATTTACTCATCATTCACCAATTTTGATATTCACTCATCATTCACTAATTTTGATATTTACTCATCATTCACTAATTTTGATAATATACATTTAATAGCATGTTTTCTATGCATTGGCTCTGAAAGTACAGAGGAAAAAAAACACATGAGTTTACAGAAGGAAATCATTAGAAATATACAAATAAGTACCAATTATTGTATGTCATAGGAAAGGATAATTGTGAGCTCTGAGGTACTATAATAGGGGGTAAAAATTGCAATTAAGGCTTAAGGGGGAGGGTTTTTTTGAGGAATTATCTTTGCTAGTTATTTCACTTTCCTCAGGGCATTATATTTTTGATACAGATCTGGAGATCTGGAGACGAATTGTCCAGGCAGTGAGTGAGAAGAGCCTCCCAGGCGAGGAGAGTAACAGGTTCCAAAGCTTTTGAGTGAAGAAAAGGGCTACAAGGTCGTCAGGAGCAAGGACAGCATGACGAGGCTGCGGGGCTGTGGATGAGAGAAAGTCGGAGGCGGTGAGGGCAGTGAGGTGGGGGAGGCCTAGTGTTTTGTGGATCATGGTAAAGCAAGTCATTTCATCCTCTGGGCAAGTAAGACCATTTGAAGTTTTGAGAAAGAAAGTGATGCAATCTGATGTATGTTTTATTGATATCTTTCTGGCTGCTGTAAGAAAATGGATGGTAGGGTTATTAAAAGGTCAGGAATGGAAGTGCCATAGCATTTGTCTAAACTAGAGTTGCTAGTGGCAAGGATGAGGGCAGGGCCAATGAGGAATCTTGGCAAACAGATTCTGTGGTATGCCAGTGTGCTGAACATCTCAGGGAAGCCCTCAGACCCGTGGGGCCAGGAATGGCATAGACTTGCTGGGAGGGCTGGACAGTGATAGCTTTGGTGACTGGTTAGAAGACATATAATTAGTGTCAAATCCTGCTGAGGTGCAAGAAATGATGGAAATGCATCAGCCCTCCATGTTGCTGATATGTACAGGTGCGAAAAGAACAACTGGGATCTGTCTAGGCCTGAAGTTTATGAGGTTTCACTACAGGAAAGAGTTGAAATCATACTATTAATAAGCTAGCTACATCACTGAATTGGTGGTAAATTAGAATTCTGTCAGTCAGCCTAGGAAGCTATCCACCTTTACAAAGTTGTGTCTTTGGGGGCAAAAATCACCTTGCATGGAAGGAAACAGGGACTATGAAAACCGGAATGGTGTCAAGGAGAATTTCCTCTCCATTTGTATAAATAGTAGGTCCAACAGAGCTATTCCATCAAAGATGAGAGTAAACCACAAGTAAATTAGAAATTCTACAAAAACAATTTCAATTAAAAAAAGTTAAAGTTGATGGATAAGATGTACTGCTAATTTTAAAATGAAAGAAACAAACTCTTGCAAAACTAGAACTACATAGAGACATTCTGAACCTTATAATAAGGGTGAAAGCTGTGAATTAGGATCAGAGTTAGAGTGATATATAGGTTTAGGGTAAGAGATTACCTCACACCCTATACCAGTGCATTGTTAATAGTAAAAATATAAATTATTAAAATAAGGACCAAACAAGGGTTTCTCATGAAAATTAACCTTGTTCCTTTAATATTAAATATTGACCAATGCAATAAAAGTGAGAAAAAACAGAGTATGACTATACAGAGGTGGAAGAACTATTTTTCCATATCATATACTTGTGTGTCTAAAAATCCAAAAACCTCACCTAGAGGATTATGAAAATAATCAGAGAGTACAGTAAACTGGTTAAAAATAACATGGATTTTTAAAACTATAGCAAAGAAAAAATTTAAATATATTATTTATTCATATGAGCAATATACCCAAAATGTCAATGTATCTTTAAAAAAGATTAATTTTTAGGTACACACATATAAATGTCTGTGATATATTACCTAAAAATACAAGTATGCTAAATATGACTCTACTTTTGAAAAAAAAAATCCCAGCATAATACAAAGAAAAATTATGTATCCTGAAAATGTCCAGCAGAACTCATATTAATTTCTCTTGATAGTTTCTCTCTCTGAATAACATAATGGACAGTGGTATGAGGAGTTGATATATCATTATAAAAACAATTCTATAAGGAAACAAATATGGAAGATAATTTAAAAATCAAACTGCTAGTTATTTTACTTTCCTCAGGGCATTATATTTTTGATAAAGGAATATTATAAATTTTAATAGTTTTATTGCACTAATTCTTAGTTCATTTGTTGTAATTTCAGAAAATTACATTTTTCATAAAGTTAATATTTGGTGATTCAGTGCAAATAAGTACCACTTGCCTGTGTAAAAGAGGAAAAATGTGAGGGAGGTTCTTAAATTGTCCACTATATCTACTTTAAAAATTCGGATCCACATACACTTTCCAAATACACATTTGCCCAAACTACAAAAAATGTTAATATTTTTGCTGCAATTACCGCTGTCACTTTTACATTCTTCCCCAAGTCAGTGTTTTAGACATTTAAAATACACTTATGGGAAGTGATCAGCTATTCCAGGGAAAAATATGCAATGTATAAAAACAGAAGAAAAGAATAGAATAGTTGTCTGCCTCTATAGGTCTTCCCATTCCCACGATAGACTTAAAATGATTTCAGTTACCCAGGAAAAAGTAAGTTAAATGAAAATTTCTTTGATTTGTTTGTGAATAAGACTGGAATTGCTTCAAATAAGTGGGTCTTTGTTATAGTGATCTATATTGAAATATCTGCAAGTTTTAGGACTATTAAAATGCTGCAAGGTCATGGTCTCTAAAAGTATTATGATTAGTAGGTACATATATATATCCAACTAAATTACCTTGCTTAAGTGAACAGAATATAATGATGGTAATTTCCATTCTCAATTTGCCTTTTATTTCATGCTGAATTTCATTGCGCTAACACTTAGTTCATTTGTTGTAGCTTCAGCAACAGCTACAAGTATAAAAGACATGCATTTCTATGAAATGAAAGTATAAATTTCAATTCAGAATTCAACATTACTTAAATAAAGAAAAGAATTCTAAAAATTCCCCTTAATGTTCAATATAACTATTGTACATAGTATCTGTAGATTTTTAACAGGCACTGGGTACATTAATTCTAAGAAAGCTATCTTAAATATCAAGTGAGAAATTCATTACCAATTCCCCTTAACATTGCATTTAAATTTTTAGAAGTTGTATATGTATGTGTTTTTATGCATTTTCATGTATAGTTTTAAAGATCTGTTTTAAATTTTTCCAAGGCATTGCTTTTGTAAAATAAAGCAAGAAAAAATTAATAACTACTTTAGAAGTCATTTTCAAGGATAGTTAGTAGTCAATTTATTCTACCAGACTATGTGCTTTTAGAATTATTTGAAGCAATTACTTTATAATTATTTAATGTCACATTGTGTCAGAATACTCTTTGAAGATGTAAAATTTTCCCTTTATAAAATGTGCAAATTGTTTGGGTCGGTGTATTTTTTTCATACAAAAATAATATGCAAAACTAATTTGCAAAGGACAGGTGTCACATGCAAAAATATGTGCATAAATGAAGAGAAAAGCAGTCAGATGCAACTAGAAAGCCAGAAAAAAGGAAACTTTTCTTCCTTATTCAATGAGTGAACTAAACTCAATACAGTTGTTGAAACAGTCTTCAGTAGTGAGGAAATGCAAAACGGTCCTTGGGATGAATAGTTCTTTCAACCCGAGAACATGTCATAAATTGTTGAACCAATGTCAGTGGATAAAAATTTAATTCAATTTGTCTTTTTAACAAGTAAATGAAAAGGGTCTTTCATAATATTGATTGCTAAGAGAAGACTCCTGAACTATCTTAACATACGCAAAGGATGGAAATCTTGCAAACTATTGAATCCAAATAACTTTCATGGTTGGTAACAGAGAAGAATAACAATATGCACCTATTACCTGGCTGGTATAGAAGAATGAAGGGAGCAGAATCAGACAAGATTTTTTAATAATAGTCATGTTCTTCAAGCCTGACAATTTATTGTTATGACTCATCTCGGTCTTTCAAAAACACTTTGATCTGGGTTAGTATTTGTTAGTCACCATGCAACAGTATCCTTCTGTTACACACTATTGGTGCAACCTTGGGCAAATAAATTGACCTCTTTCAACTGTAGTTTTCTCATTCATGAAAATTGCGAATAGTGGTATTTCTGTTGCAGGATGTATAATGATCAAATAAGATCAAGATATGGAAGCTTTTCAATAAACACCTGAAAGACAGATAATGTATAGTTTCCTTACTTATTCACAAGGGCTAATGGATGATTGAGGAGCTAACACAGTTTTGCATTCTCTAAAGAAAATGTGTGTCCCGTAATGAAAGATGTGAGTGTAAGTGTTTCTGAGAAGTGAGGGAATGGCTTAGGATTGCATCTAAAAATTCCCTACACAGTGTTTCTAAGAGCGGGCACTTATTAGCATGATCATTTGGAAGCTAGGTCAGAGATTTCAAAACAGCTTTAAAACAAAGGGGAATAAAGCTTTTCTTCTCCAAGTCACAGAAGGCAAATATTATTTGGCCCTAATAATTGCACCTAAGAACAAAAAAGCATTGGCTATTGAAAAAAATGCAGTGTTTTTGTGTTCTCTTTCATTTTTTCATGCCTAACCATGCATCCTCTGATGCTGAGTTATTATTGTTGTCAAACCTGAAATTCTTAGAGCTTTGTTTTTAATGGAAAGATCAACAGATTAAAATTTAAAAATACAGCTTGGTATGGTCAGAAGTACTGGGGAAATTTAATTCATCATTCCTGATAGATGGTAACATATAGTCAGTATCATCATAAAAAGCACATCTTGCTTGAAAAGCATGGCAGAGAAGAGGTGAAGGATGCTCTGAAAGTGAGGCGGTCAGAGAGAAAGAGAGAAGAGGCTTGGGAGGGGGCAAGGAGGGACAGTAAAGCAAGAAAGGACCCCAGGAAAACAAAGGTCTGTCTGACACGGCCAGTTGCAGCCTGAGCAGAGTAGAGGGAGGGCAAGGTCCGAGGGAACAGAAGGCCTAGAGGGAAGCATCAGATAACTCTTAGAATTACCCTGGCTCCAGGGAAACCTGAACTCCAGTGGGAGAGCGGGTATATTTAAGGTAGTCCAGGGAGCTTTAAAAAAACAAGAGAAACTGGATATCAGAAAACATTTTGTGATGCTGTAATGAGATCTCTGTGTTGGTGGATACTTGCCCTAAGGAATACAATGCAAGTCCTGTCATTTGACTCGCTTTGAATTAGAGAGAGAAATCTACTCAAACACCCTCTGAGGAATCACTTTTATATCATATCACTTATTTATGGTTAAAATTTTTTTTGCAAATTCCGTGTTTCATTTCGTGACTCTGTAGCCTGTAGTTAGTCACCGAGAGGTATTATTATTTGTGTTCATACCAAACTGTTTTTTGTTTGGGGTTTTAAGATCTGATGACTCCACATTTCCTTTCTTTATCTAAACCTAGCTAACTGTCACCTCAGAGTCCCTTAGATAACCAGACCGTCCAATGAGGGCACTTATGTAGCCTCCGTAATACTCTTGGGAAATTGGCCCTTAACATTGGACCCTGGACGGAAATGGAGTGAAATAGGAAATAGACATCCTTGACTGCTTCCTGTAGTTGACTTACTGTTTTCACAGCTCTCTGCAGGGCAGTTTGTTGCTTTGTGTTGACTGTCGTACTAAATCGGGGACTGTTCGTCCCTCACCACAGTGAAACATTTAATCTTCCAAGGCATGGAGTAGTGCAGTTTTGCATTAACAGAAAGGAACATTGTTTGCAAATAGCCTCATATTTTTTCAATGGAGGGAAAGAAATAGAACAGAGCAGCCAAGCAGCATTCAATTTTTCTTAGCAAACTGAAGCTCCTGTGTTTTATTCTGATAAATGATGCTAATGAAGCTTGGGGACTTTTACAGGTGTGTAATTCTTCATTTCATTACACTACTGTATTCCACTATTTTTTGTTAAGTCACCCACATGACTTTAAACACAGTGTGGTAAATAACCAGCTTCCCCACAGGGTTGTTTTAGGCACACTATATTTAGAAAATGAACAATCAAAGGTGAATCTACCCCCAATGCCCATTCTTCCCATAGTATCTCTCACCCTCAAGTTTACTGTTGTAGATAGTTCAGGGAAGAAGAGGCTATCTCCTTTCTCCCATTTGCCAAAACCAGCAAACGTGAATTAGCTCCTTTTAATATCAGAGTCCGTGTTTGGGGGTCAGATCACTGCCACTGGCTTACCGGAAAACAGGAAGAGATGGAAAAACTATCATAGGTAAGCACAGCCTACCAGTGCAGTCTGGTCTTGTGGGATGTTCCTTCTGGAAGCTGTACCATATACCAGTTTGTGACAGAGACATTTCAGAGGTCCTTTTAGTAAATCAGTCTGTAGAGTCAAACATGCAACATGTGGGAACATAGTTGACATGGTTTTGACCTTGGAAGTTAGTTGCCCTATGGGCACTCTCAGCTTTCCCAAAGATTTTTTCCTCTTCATCCTGGAGAGAGGGTGCGTATGAGCACAGGCCAGCTTCAAGCAGCGCTCTATACTTCGGGATTATTCTGAAACATAACCAAGAATATGGACCGGGAGTAAGACGGGGGACCCAGCTCTTCTTTTTTGTTTGCATCTCTTGGTCAGATCAAGAATATTCACCACAAATAATCATGTGTGTGGCACACATAAGGGCCACAGCTGACCTCTTAAATATGTATGTTTATGTTGTTTATGTGGAACTGTAGAAATAATGCCTAGTAATTTTTTTTTTCTTCACGAAATGCACATCACAGTGGCTTAGCAGTTCCCCCTCCTCCTGGGCCCCCCCCAACACTCCTCCCCCTTGATAACCCCTGGTCACTTCTCAGCATCTATGTCTAATGCTGTTTTGTTCCTTCTGCTTTGCTTTGTTTTTATATTCCACAAATAAGTGAAATAATATGGTATTTGTCTTTCTCTGCCTGAATACTAATGCTTTTTCTGCCTACTGTTTTAAAAAATTCGCACAGTTAAGATATGTGAAAAAATGAAAATCACCCATATTTCCTTTCCTTCCCTCTATCCCCAAAGGAAACTCTTTGGAATGTATACTCTCAGAAATGTTTTAGGACATAAATAAACATTTTATTAGAAAGAGTATCATTGTGGTCATATTTTAGGCCATCTTTAGTGTAATAATGTACTCAGCCTTTTTTGACTTTTTAATAGATTTCTTTGATGACCCTGTCAAATTTTCTCCAAATAAAATAAGATGACTCTTTCAACCAATATGCAGCCCACGTTCACCGCTGAATACAATATAGTTCCTGTTACATTCAAGATATTACATTTTAAGATGTTAGCTTAAAATATATGCATTCTCAAGCATGAGGCTGAAGAAGTATGGTGATAGAATGTGGTTTCTGTTATATAATCCATGGCTTAGTTGGTTTATAAGTACATTAGAGTCAGTTTGAAATATACAGTAGTTTCTTATTAGATCCTTGAGCATTTCACTGAATGGTCAAGAAGGAAATGCAACAGTCATGTAATGCAACCTCCTCCTTTTACAAATGTCAATGCTGAGAAACAGAGTAGCCAAGAGACTTCCTCAACATGCACAGCCTGTTAGTGGCAGGTCTGAGACTGTAACACTTAGTCCAGGATGTGTCCAATTGCAAATTATTGTGTGGGATGAATTGATTATCTTTCAGACTGAAGCTTTTTTAAACCTGTTTTTAATCTTTTTTTTCCTTAAAGAAAACTGCATAAATTGACTCTTCTACAGCAGCTGTCACAGCCACATAAATATCAATTTCCTGCCATAGTAGACCTTTGATTGCTGATGGCAAAGCTCTTTTACAAACCCTGTGAAATCATGCTTAATTCTCTTCTTGGCAAATGATATTGGTTCATTCTAATCTTAACATACATCTCTTAGTTTTATTATCCCATTTTCAAAATAGTACATTTGTCCCATTATCAAAATAGTACATAAAGTAGCCCACAGATTATATAAAATTCATTTCTTCACAAATTTGAAGTATTTAACTTGTTTTAAAAACCTATATTATTTAATATTTGCCAAGCCCCCAAATTATGTTTTTATAGTAAATATAATCCTACTTGATATCACTTTTCCTAAAGTCTCCATGTGTTTTTGGCTCCACACACCAGATGAGATGACACTCTTTATATAAAGTCTTCAGCGCTTATGTGTCAATGCTCGGAGTCTGTCTATGTAGAGGCCACAAGAAAACTTTCTAACACCTCATGGAAGGTTCCTGAATATCCTGAAAGGATTTAAACTTTTTAAATGTGGGACCAGGATGACATCATTGGGCTGAGGTCATTTGGAATAGTAACTAAATAAAGAGCTTGGTAGAACTACTGTTCTGTCAGGTTAAGTTCTTGGCATTTTGTATCTCAGAATGTTAAAAAAATTCACTCTAAAGGGCCTGGGAGGTAAGGCATCTGTATTTTATTATTGTTAATCACAGGCTTTTATTTCCAGGCCTGGCCATATTTTTGTACTATTTGCTAACAAAGGAGCAGTCCTGAAGAATGACGAAAAATGAAGGGAATACAAATCTCTATTTATCTTATCTCTTGCTTTTAAATATGAATGTTTTATCCACATACAGTATCACAACTACATACTCAAGGCAACTGTAGGCACCAAATTTATTTATAGGCAGTTACCCTAAATTGGGACAACTTGACACCAATTATTCTTGTTCTTGTCCCTCTTGATTTTAATTTCTCCACTTTGTATCCTGATTCTTTTCAACTGCTTTTGAAACCTTAAATTTTGGCACCAAGTTTGAATTCTCTCTTTAATTAGTAAAAAGTGCTCACTGTTTAGCTCTCTTCTAGATGTGCTTCTGACTTTCAATCTCCAAAACTCCTATGAGATGTTTCCCTTCCCAGCTGGAATCCAAAGGGGCACAGTTGAGTCGCGTTAGTCCTTTCTAGAAAAAGAGATTTGGCTGGTCTCGGCGTCCTCAGAAACTCCATTCCCTCGGCATCGGCACCGACCATGCCTACCAAATTCCAATGCTATAATCATTTCCGGAATGATCTGGAGGTTCACAGACTGGAACCATTTGGTAAATACCTTTGGAGCTACTTTTTTTTTCCCAGTTTATTGTACATTCATGTAGTAATACAATTCAGGGAGTTAGAGGGTTCACTGGTGTTATTTCCACAAAGAATTATCATTTTGGAATCAAGCTTATGAACCCATATTTATAACTTCCATTTCCTGGGAAATATATCTAATGTAAAGTAAAGTAGTATGAGTGAAAACTGCACAGGAAAATGTCAACCTTCATATGTGGGAATTTGGAAAAAATATAAAAGGTTTAGAGACAGGGGTGAAGTACCAGAGAAGTGGGGTAAGGTGAAAGGAGAATCTCAAGGGACCATATATATATGTGAAATGAATTTGATTCTAGACAAGAAAAAGCACAAAGCAGGGTAATGAATCTGAGGTGGAGAAAGCATTGTGTCCTTTCTCTTTATATGAGCTCAATTCTTCATAGCCATGTAAGAAACAAGACATGAGAGGACCAGGGAAATGTTCCGTTTTCCACTTTATCCTTTCATTTTTTTCTTCCGAGCCCTCTTTTTTTTTTTCTTAAATAGATTACAGATTTGTTTTCAAGGTAATTTTCTCCAAAACCTGTTTGGCATAAGCATGATAATCTGAGCATATGAAACTGGGAAGGGATAGGAATTTATCTTTAATGATTTGGAAAGGAACCAGGAAACAGAAGGTGGGTGGAAAAAGATAGAAGCCATCCTTATCTCTCCATCCAACAACTATTTTATTGAGGTCCTACTTCTGTTAGACCTTGTATGGTGCCCTAAGCAACTCAGTGTAAATAACACATTGACCCTTGCCCCAAGATGTATGTAGGTGAAAAGGAAGGAGAACTCAGATAACCGAGGTCTGTAATAGAGAGATGTCCTGATTAGTTATGGCAATGAGGAGACGTGAAGTTTTAAGTAGATGAGAGGAAGTCTCATTAGAGGTCTCGTGGTAGACATTATATGGGAATGGGGAGTTAGAAAAAAAAGGCAAAATACTGCAGAATTTCATTTTGCAGGAACACCTGCAAAAGGAAAACAAAGTAATTGACAATTCATAAAATCTTGAGTACTTTAGTATTTCTGGAAATTAGAATCAGGGTGGGGTGTGAAGTGAAATAATACTGAGGTGTTGTCAGGGGCCAGGTAATAAAGGACTTAGCATACCACAAGTTGGGGATTTATCTTGTGAGTAATGGGAAGAATTGATCATTTTAAGCAAGCAGGATAAAATAATGTCTTAGAAAAATCCCTGGGCAAATATGGAGTATAGGTTGGCACATATGAAATTAGATCATAACATAGCATTCTTAAGATGATACAACATTTTCAAAGTGAAAGGAGAAAGTGATTTTAACTAGGGTAAAGAGTTTTGGAGGTAGTTGGACAGAACAATACCTAATTAGGAGTTAATATTGATATTTGACTAATATTGATTGGTTAAAAGTGGGAGGTTAAGGAAAGGAAGGAATCAAATTCATTTATTAGATTCTTGACATGAAAGACAGGGTGGCTCATGGTTGAATGCCCTGAAATAGAGATAACAATAATGGAGAGAAGATGATATGTTCAGTTTTGGATCTGGGATTGAGGTACCTATAGGACAAGTAATTTTAAGTAAAAATGTCTTATAAGCAGTTAATACTCAAAGGAGACATCTAGGCTGGAGATAAATTTTTGGTAGTTATCAGCAAATAGCTGGCTCTGATGTCCTAGGAGTAAATGAAATTGTCAAGGAAGACAGTGTGTAATAAGAAAACTCTGCAGACGAGATCAACTGTTGGGAGGCAAAAGATGGGCCACTGGAAAAGATTTCTAGAATTAATAATCATGTCAGTCTGGAAGATGTCATTATACTTTATTTTATAGACCTTTAACCACCTTGCAGATAATTTTTAAAAGGTCATGTAATTTTCATTCTTATCTATTCAATTATAATGAATCTAGGACAGAAGTAAACTAATATAAGAAGACCTTGCACTTTTTTTGAAGTTTTCAAAAGAAATCTGTAAAATATTAACAACATAGAATGCACAGCTTTAGAATACATAAAAGGAGCAATCCAAAAATAAGGGATAAATATATGTGATACCACGTACAAGAGAAACCTGAAACAGCCAAACTTACAGAAGCGGAGTGTAGAATGGTGGTTGCCAGGGGCTGGGCCGGTAAACGCCTCTTTACTCTACACCCCTTACCCCCATATTTTTAGTTTGTTGTAGGGATTTTCAGAGGCTGGAGGGAAGGGTGTAGTGGGAGGTATTAGAGCACAAAAGTTTAGTCATGCAAGATGGATAAGTCCTAGAGGTCTACTGTAAGCATAGAGCCTATAGTTAATAATACTGCATTGGATACTTAAAAATTTGCTAAGAGGGTAAACATTATTCTATATGTTCTTATCACAAAATAACAAAAACAATAATAATAATGACAAGGAAGCTATCGGATGTAATGCATATGTTTATGGAATAGGTTGTATTGATGGTTTCATGGGGGTATCCTTATCTCCAAACTCATCAAACTGTATACATTAAATATGTATAGCATATTGTAGATCAATCATATATCAATAAAGTGGCTTAAGGAAATGAACAGAGGGGATTCTCATGAACCGTGGTCACGGGGGAGTGTTGCTGCAGAGCACCTTGGTGGATATCAATAGGCACTGCAGCACAGCAGACGCCGTTCATTACATCTAGCAGCCATCCCTCCACTAGACGTTTTAGCAGAATGCCTGTCTCCTTCATACTGGAGCTATGTCCAAGCAGAGCAGATAAGTCATGATTGGTCTAAATTGATCAATATTCTTTGTTAGCAGGTAATCTAATGTGGCTGTGTTATCCAGTTCTGGTCCATGTGGTATAAAGAGAACTCTGGTTGAATTTCTGCAAAAGATTTTTCTGTCTAATAAAACAAGAAGTCCCTTTTTGTATGAGTGTGTCTTTCCTTTCCTTACCACATGGAATGTTGTAACATAAGATGCTCTAGCAGTCATGTTGTAACCATGAAGAGCAACATTTCAACACATTGAGTTGAGCAGAGCAAAAAATATATAAGCAAAGAAACAAAATGGGCACTTGAAGATTCAGCACTGAGCTACTACATCAATTCTGAAGTCATTGACTTCCAAACTTTTTGTCATTTGAGATAATACAGTATCTTTATTTTTGCAGCCACTATGAACCAAGCATTCTGTTACTTTCAGTCAAAGCATTACTAATTGACAATGGTAGCAAAAATAAGCACCTTCAACTGGCTTCACAGCCATTAATAACTGGACAAGAGATGTTCCAAGCAAATGTTTCAGAAAGCAAAACTAGGGTAGAGGAAAAATGGCAGATGTTACATGATAAAGACCAGGACTCCTTTATCATGACACCTCCTCCCACCATATTTTTGCTTTGGTATATGGATTTTCAAAAGGATGATTTGGAAGTATATCCAGTAATCTGGGCATAACAGAAATATCCCATTGGCTGTTATTATGATGTTGTGATTTATCTGATGACGATTGAAACCTAGAGAAACAGGTTATAAATAGAATGGATGAAAAGCATAGTGTTAAATAAATTAGACTGTAGTTAGGCTATAAGAAGAAAACATGCTGATGCACCTAGTAAAATGTCTGCTATGTAATAGCTACTCCTTAAATATCTAATGAATCTAACTAAAGCCTAGGTTCCATGTTTCTGGAAGAAGGTACCCCTAATAAATAGATTGTACAAAGAAAAAATATATTACCCATTATTATCCCTCTGCTGTTAGTAATACAATTTATTCTTTGTTTACTATCTGGCATCTGTCCCAGGGACAGAATTGGAGACATGGATTTGAATAATCTTTCTGGAAAATGCACGTTACTGGTAGGGAGGTAAGGGAGTGGTACTGGGAAGGCAAAACTATCAATAAAGGTAGTATATTGAGCCACTTACCATAGTGGGCCACCAGAGCTTAATCCCACGGGGAAATCCTGAGAAATGTGCAAAACACTGGCCTCATAATTATCCCGTCCAAGAAGCCTGGGAGGCGCTGGTTGAGGAGAGCTATGCAGAAGGGAGAGGAGCGTTGATTCCTTGACATTTGCAGTTTCAGGAAGAAGAAGAAAAAGTAAAAACCCTCCAGCACTGATGTAGATGCTGACAATTATCAGTCAGCCTGAAAAATCTGAGGGGACTGGGCGAGGCCTCGTCAGTATCCACTACAAATGCCATTTAATTACACCCCACTCCATCAGTTCCTGGTGCTTTTCCCCACTTTTCTAGACATATGTGATACATTTGGGAGGAAAGTGGTGGGTAGAAAACAGAGGTGAATTATAAGGAGCAGGGATGCCTTGGAAGAGTGACAAATGCACCCATCCTACCTTCTTTTGTCTTTCTTCTTGGAAGATTGAAAGTGAGCCTAGCGTGAGGCAGACGCCTGGGGCGGGACCTCCGTGATGCTCGGACAGACCCAGCGTGTGGTTCCCTGCTTTCTCCTCTCCCCTCTGGCTCTCTTCTTCCACTGCTGGGGTCCTGTTTGTCTGACTCCTGGGTGCCTGATGGACTCATACCGCTCTCTGATGGCCCTAAAGCTTTTGCCTGCCGACCTGATCCTCTCGGACATTTTTCAGTGATCACGTTGTTCCATGGTGTCTTCCTTCCTCTCCAGTCCTCATGTCCATCCCCGTCCTCAGCAGAGGGACAATGGAACAAACTGAGGGATACTAACATGCACACAAAGAGGCTCCTACCCAACTCCAAAATCTGCAAATCAAAGCATTTCCATTTTAGATTGTATGAGAGTGGTGTGACAAGCCAAAGGAAAAGACAGTTTGGGGAGCACACGTTGTTCCAGCTCCTCTCAGAACACCCCAGGAAGCCATGACTCATGCACTCAAATCTGATTCTGCCTAGTTCCATATTCTGGTTTTTGAAAATGGCCTAGGTTAGAATTCAAGGGAGTAAAATGCAGGCTTTGCTGCTCTTCATTCTAGAACAATCCGTTGAAGAACATTTTTTTTTTATATTCCAACAGTGCATCCTGGTGAAACTAGGATTTTAAAGTGTCAATTGTTCATTTAAAAAGTATCCCTATGTCCCAGTTTGCCTGATAGGGTCGCTCCCAAGAGAAGCAGCCAATTCTGTGCTTGACTCTTGCCTCGTCAGCGTAGTGTGCATAATGCTCAGTAGTTTAACCCTCAATTTTCCATATTCTCTTATGACAAAGAAAAACGGCATTCCTTTGCAATTTGGGGCTCTCTCTGTGTGGGGTGGTGACCGGACCTACTCCGGCTCCTCCTTCCCACCCACTGTTCACCTTCCCGCTCACCTCTTGTTTCTCCCTCAGAGAGAAAATTGTGTCTTTTTCGTCTGCAATGTTTCTCTACTTGTCAACTTTTCTTTTTAAGAATGAATTCAAAAGAAATGAACAGGGGGAGCACAGAGGGTTTTTTTAAGGCATGGAAGCTATTACTCTATGTGATGCTGTAATGGTGGATATACACATCATCAAACATTTGTCAAACCCCATGTAACAGACAATACAAGGAGTGACCATGAGCTTCAGTTAATAGTAATAAGCCAGCGTTGACTCATCAATTTTAATGAATGTACTATGCCAATAGAAGATGTTAAAAATAGGGGGAGGTGGAGGGGTACAGGGGGTGTGTGGGGAACTCTGTATGTTTCACTGGTTTTGTTCTGTAATTTAAAACTGTTCCAGAAAATCTATTAATTTTTTTTAATCTATTAATTTTTAAAAAGTGAAATATACACCCCATGACTAAGCCATTCCACTTCTAGATATGAACCCAAGAGAAAGGAAAGCATATGACCTACGAAGACCTCAACGTGTACGTTCATAGCAGTTTCATTTCTAATACCTCATGCTGGAGACCATCAGTGGGTAAACAAATTGTGGAAAACTCATACATTGGAATACTATTTAGCAACAAAAGAAATGCACTATCAGATGAATCTCAGAATAATTGTGTGGAGTAAAAGATAGCAGATGAAATAAAGAGGACTTACAGAGATGAAGGCCCTTTGGTGGTGATGGGTATGTTCATTAGTTACACTGTTCTGATGGTTTGCTGAGCATGTGTGTGTGTGTGTGTCAAAACTGATCAAACTGTCTACTTTATGTGCAGCTTACTGTATGTCAGTGATATCTCAGGAAAGATATAAAAAGATTCAGAGAACCTTACACTGTCCTCTGCTTTCCCTGCCTAGTCTTGCACTTCCCTATACACCCTTCTCTTCCCAGACCATAATGCCACTCCCTGAGATACTTATGGTTCAAAAAAGTGTTGTCTATCAGTGTTTTCCCAGTTCTGGCTTCAGCAAGTAGGGGTGGCAGACCACAGATGAAAAAATCATCTTCTTTGTTTCTCAGCACTGGAGAGTTAGGTTGGAGAGTTTTCTTGTACTGCCTCTCAACTGTCATTGGTGTGTGTTGCTCGACCCTATGACTCTCTGTGAGGTGAGAGGAAGAGATGCCTGTTGTCCGCTGCCGCACTGAATTCCTCAGCCCATCGTGATGCTGCTCAGTTTAGAGCTCTGTGGAGAAAGTGAATCTACCGCTCAATGGGACACTCAAATGGAAGATATATTTCATCAAGTAGGTTTGTTTCTGCAGGAACATTTCTCACTATAATTCCTTATTATGTATCGCTAAGATGCCTACTGTCTGATCTTTTAGAGGTTAGGCAACAGAAAATGTTTAGGTTATCCATGGCAATAATTTGCATTGCCTTTTTGGAAAAAGCCAGAATACATCAGAATGAGTAAGATGAAGAGAAAATTTTAATCTTCTTACTTTATTATTTTTTATAAATTCTCTTCTCTGAAACAGTCTGTTTCTATTGACATTATCTGTGAGAAATAATTTGCAGAATAAAACACATGGAGCTTCATGTTAGCATTAATAATGACATAGTGGAGTATAATGAAGAACCCTCTCTAGGGGCAGGCTGCCTGGATTTAAAGAACAGCTGCCAGTCACCATCATGTTAATATCCTCTCTAGGTTTTAGCATCTTTATCTGAAAAAATAATAGAACATACCATAATAGTATTATATTTGTTGTGAGGATTAAATGAGATATATTGAGCAGAATTTCAGGCACACCATAGGCATAAACCTAATCTTGAATGTAATCATTATATATATTATCATAATGGCACATCCCATTTGGCTACTCATGCTTGAAAGACATAACAAAACTATTTCCTATGATAATGTACTGATTAGAGGCATTCATCTCTGTTCTACAAGTGCTAAGCAGTAAATAACAACTGTCATCATTTTCCAAGAACTTCAACTGAAATGTTAGCAAAAACTAAACAATACAATCATAAACTGAAGATTTATTGTGATCACACACATTCTTTTATGCAAGGTTCAATTTACACAATTGTAACCTAGCATTGTCCAAACTGAAAATGGTGATGCATCCTGGGAAAGCTTCCTACTTATTAGAGACTGACTGCATAATCATCCAATTATTTCTTTAACAGATATACTGAGGACTTACCATATGCCATGCACTGTTCTACAAGCTGAAATGCAGCAAACACAAGATGTACAAAATTCTCTCATGAAATATATAATTCAGCAAGAAAGAGAGACAATAAAAAGTAATTATTTGACTACAATTGTAGTGAGCCATTGACTTACAGTTATAAAAGGGCAAATAATAAGGGATCCTAACCTGGGCTATGCGGGTGATGTAGTTAGAAAAGCCTATGCCTCACAGAATGTGATTTCAAAACCATTACCTCATCAAATCATATTTAAAATACTATTTTATGAATTTGATACTTACTTGCTTTGTGATTTTGGTTATGTTACCTATATACTCTACACTTAAATTTCTTTGTTTATGAAACATAAAAAATAATACTTATTTAAATGGTGTGATGATAGAAAAAAAAAAAGCCTGTAAGTTGCTAACCAGTACTAATTCTTGACCGTCTCCTTATGCACCAAAAATATAACTATTCTCTTGTGATCAGAGATACATTTAGATTTTAAATATTGGATGTTACTGTAATTCCTCTAAATTTCATAGCAATAAATATTTCTAGGTGGTTGTAGTTTATACTTTCAGAATGATTAGAATAGAGATACAACACTTGTGTGTATATATGAGTACATGTATATGTGTGTATCTATGGGTGTGCCTGCCCGTGGGGAGTGGCTTCTGCTTTTCTGACTGTAGGAAAGGGTTCTAAAATGGAATCTTGTACAACTTTGGCAGTAGTAAGTGAAGTATTGAATAGTAATAAGTAGAAACTTGGTTGAACTGTTGAACGTGAAGACCTGGTTAGTCCTAAAATAAATATATGTTTATATATTTATATATTTATTCATGAGGTATCAGTCAAGTGTTACCCACGTACAAATATGGAGCCATTGTTACCCTAATGGGGGCAGAGAGCACATAATTCCAGGGCTGTTCTGAGTACCTCTGAGAGCAGCAATAAGATCCTGTCTTCACTTAAGGAATTCCATTAAAGGAATTTATTTATGCCTTTGCTCAGTGGAGAAGACGGCCTCAAGAGTTCTGTGGTTGTTGCTGTTTCAGCAATCACACCCCTGTAAGATTCTCAATTTATAGGAAAACTATTTTCCCTGAAACCAGCTTTTATGCTTAAAAGTATACCCAAGACTATCTTTTAGATTAGAAAGACTTATTATAATTCTTCTAATAATAAATAAACACTGGTTCAATGTAGTCAACTAGAACAAATAGTATTTGCTTAAAATAAAATTGGTAGTGTTGTGAGGACTAGGGAAATATGTTTTTTACAGGTGGATAGAATTGTTATTCACATCTTTCAGCATAATATATGGGGTTACATGAAGTTATATATATATATATATATATATTATAATTACTAACTAGAAAAGCAGATAATCCAGTGTCTAGATCCTGTGCTTTTAAAAAGATATTTACAGTTTTTAATTACAACATTTTTTCATGGATTCTAAGGTGTGCCTACCCAGGCTGTTTTTTTTTTAATTTTATTGAACACTTTCAAATTTTCTTGACTTCCTTTGCCACACATATGGATCCTCAATTAATATTACTTTTTGTGCTTTTCCCTATTTCTAAATATAGCCAGACTTTTTGGGTTCCTTTCATATCTTGATTAAAAAGCTATGAGAAATAGAGACTATCCTGGTGACTAAGAGAAAAAACAAAAACATTTTTTTTGAAAAATGAAATCCATGTAGATTTTTTAAAAAGAGAAACAGATTTATTTTAAAATTATGTTTAATGGTCAAAATAATAAGCAGAACAGAAGTAGCAATTTTCAGAAAAAAATACTAAAATGGTGTGCTGTTATTTAATGTAGAAATTATAACATTGGATTGCTTATGTGGATACAAAATATATGAAACAAAAAATGGAGATGTGGGATGGTTATAGAGATATATAGAGAAAATATAAAAAGCAAGACCTAAATGTATGCTATCTACATGAAATGCACTTTAAATTTAAGGATTTAGAGAGGTTAAAATAAAAGTAGGAAAAGAGATACACTTATTTTGCAAAGAAAATAAGAGTTAGGCCATGTTAATATCAAATAAAGTAGATTTTAGGAAACAAATTGTATTCCCAATGATAAAGAAGGTTATTTGATGATAAAATATTAATCAGAAAGACAATACAATCATAAATGTTTATATATATAAATAAACAATATTCAAGATGTTAGGCAAAAAACTGACAAATTTAAAGGTGGAAATA